GATGAGGTTCTTTGAATAACCCGATAAGCGAAGCATAAAAAAAATGTGCATTTTGGGAATGATCGTTTTCACGGAAAGTTAACGCCCGATATGGTGAAGCCATTAAATAATCCTCAACAGAACGATTAAGGGGAGCTTCAAAACCTAAGCAGGAGATATTGATTTTCCCTTAATATTCATATAATTTGTTAATTAAAGAAGGAAGCATCTCAAGAGACAAAAAAAACGTTCCTTACATATAGTAGTTAGAGATGATTTTTGTTTGCCTAAGTAAGATTATCATTCAACTCCAAAGTTTCAAAGCTAAGTGTCCCCAAGGTTTCTCAGAGTATTCAAAACCTCTGGACCGAGAAGTTGCGGCGCGTTCCTGGCGTAACTGCTCAGTTGATCTCCCTCCCGGAATTTCGTGGAAAATTCGCGAGACTTGTAGATAGCAATGGCGCTTTTAATCTGTCGCATAGCTTCCGGGTGCGACGCATCGAGCCGAGATGGAGAAGAGTGGGGGAGAGGGGGAGGTGCTCGGTGAATGGAGGGTGGCGAAATGTGTCAGGAAGCTCAGCGGAAAGACGCGCGGCCGCAGGCGAGGCGGAAAGAGAGCGCGAACAGAAAGAGAAAGCAGTAGGGCAGAAAAAGAGGGGAAGGGGGTGTGAGGGGGTGCACGCCCGCGGCTGGTGCAGGCCTTTCCACGCCCGCTCGGCCTCTAGCCACGCACTGGATATTCCATTCTTCGCTCAGTCCGAATACTTTTTTTCTTCTTCTTCTTCCTCCCTCTCGCGTCGGTGACTTACACTCGCGTTCCCGCTTTGACCGACGACCCCCGTCATTCAACTGAGGCTTTTCTTTCATTCATTCATCCATCACTTCCTACTCGCTCTCGGCGCAGACCCTACGTCAGTTTTTCTACCTATTTATTTATCACCGAGCGTTCTGTTCAAGGCATGGGCTTTCCGCAGAGGCCGCAATGCTATTTGATATTTTATGGGCACGAAATGGCTATAAGTATCGGGCGTGCAATTCCCAGGGGGTCACTGGATGTCGTGCCATGTTGTAAGAGTAATTCTAGCTTTCGTCTGGCAGTAAGATGGGTTCTCGAACGAAATGCCAGTATTATTTGGTAAATTAATTGTTTTGGTATGATTTCTTTGAATAGAAGAGACTACGGCACAGAGAAAGAATTCATATAAAACTAATTCTGCTATTTTAACTTATGTTTGAATGATGCCTTTGCAATTCAATGCGGAAAAATATAAAAAAATATTTTATATAATTAATTTTCTCATATATATTATACAAGAAAACGTTTACCAACATGCTGAAAAGTAAATACTTATTTCAGATTATTTTTCAGGCATTGATATTGCGTTTTTACCCAATTTCTTTACAAAACCATTTATGCGCTTTATTATTACCTCATTCTCGAGAATAGCGTAAAATACACCCAAAACTATTTCACAAATCCGCAAACATTCTAAAAATGTTTTCTTCAACCCACATTTTGATCAAGAGTTTCGGTTTTGTACGAACGGATACCGAACGACCGCTCAAATCAAATAGAACTGCGGCAATTGTGTGTCAACTGCAGCCGGCGTTTATCTACGAGCCAGTCCGCCTTTATTTTTCCGCCTCCCCCGATCTCTTCAATTTGTCTCGTCGACATTTCTTACTTCTCCGCTCTCGTGGCACGTCCGATGCCGCTCCTTCTGCAGAGTCGGCACATTCAGCGGCGGGAGGGCTGTTCGTGCAACGCAGCCTGCGGACGGTGCAGAACGGGCCCCAAGAAGAACAGACGTGGAACTGCCTGGGACACAGTTGCTCAGACCTGTGTACCCTAACTTTATACACGATTTGACTTTCGGAAATTTGTCGTAATAACAGTTCCAGGACATATCTAACGCATTTCGTAAAAATTCCAAAACTATTCTCTTAAGCCACTTTTACATGGCTTATCGTAAAACATGATGTCCAAGATTTTGAGTTTGTAGTGCCACTGTCGTTGACAAAAAAGCTGCGACAGGCCACAAATAATACACACAACGCTTTCTTAATCTAAGTTTTATTATGTTGAAAATAAGGTGCTACAAAATTAGAAAATTAAAAGAAAGTAAAAAAAGAAACGCAACTGGCGAAAAATTAATACTCAAGATAATTACTATTAATAATTATATAGATTTTACAAACTTACTATAACACAATAACAAAAATCAGAGAATTTTTTTGCTTTTAATTATGGCAGTAATGAGTTGGTCTCTGCGTAAAAAATGTTGCATTTGTAAGTGAATTTTCCAGACGTTTATCCGAAAGATTTGTTCTCATTTTGCGTTTTGTGTGCTTTGTCCTCGTAAACAGTTATTAACAAATGTTGGTGCTGCCAAAGAGAGATGCCATGAATAAGGCATGATTTTGCAGAATTGAATATTCTAAAGGTAAATAGGACTGACAACATTTTAGCACAGAAGTATGGCCACTTTTTTCTTTTCTGAAAATTAGTTTGCAACTCGATACACTTCATTTGAAAGTTTTCAAATAATGAATTAACTCGACTGAAAGGAGAGTTGCCAATGAGCGAAAGAAAATTTAATTTATTCGGAAAACTTCACACCTACTTTTAACTTATCGCTCGAAAATATACTGAAAATGTATTTGGATGCACTGTTACCATGAAACCTACCAAGCTACTTAAACGAATATAAATATTTCTGAGAACTTGAGAATATCGCAATTTAATTTTATTAAAATGCTGTTACGGCTTAAAACATTTAAAAAATAACTTAATTTCCATCTCAGATTTTCATGTTTAACTCATTTAAGTATGAAGTAAAATTCATTCAATAGGGTGTCTGACACATTTTATTTCCTAGTTCCGTTATATTTTTCCCTTAGAATACATTTCGTAGAAAGTATATCGTATCACATATTGGCTGTACGTAGCCATCTATCTTAAGACAAAAATATAAAGTCTCCGTTTTTAACGAACTTAAAAAATAAACTGAAACTCGCACTGATTCTGTTATTTGGGTAGATAAAATTACTATTTTATAGGCGTGTGTATTATATTTTCCATTTCGAATTTTTTGAAACGTTCCTTCCCGAAAGATTCAAATATATTTCATCAAAGCTGGATTTTCAACTGAGATTAAACAATTTTCAGTGAATTTCACTACTCTTAGATATTTTAGCTGCCCATTCCAGAAGTACCATCAGTAGCTAACCCAAAGATTAGTATGATAACGCTGAAGTGTTTGTATTGCATCATACAAGTCACCAGATTAAGTAGTGGCTTTTGACGAATATTGAAGAATATTTGGCAATGCAGGTATTCGGCGGACCACGCCAATAGGGTCACGGGACGCAAGTTGGACATGCCTATGGTGTTAAAAAATTACTAAGGGACTATTATTTTTTTAATGTAATACTTAGCGTAAGTTATTGATTATTAACTTATATAATGGATTAAAATTACACATCTGGGCATCCTTATTTTGAAAACATATTTCAATAACGATTTCTATAATTATGTTTCAATGTACGCATCAACGAAGTGCTAATAATACATTTTAGAAAGTAGCGAACCACAGTGAATATTAATCTGTTAAATTAAAAAAAATCTTTAAAAAATAATTTTCTTATTTATTTTTTGTGTTTCGTGTGTCAACACTTCCCAGAATTTATTCGAGATTCAGAGAATTGTGAGGTCGTAAAACAGCCAGGAGAACGTGCGGGATGGTATCCTCGCGTGGACCCGGATCTCCTCACTTATTCACCCGCCGCGCCACTAGAGCCCCAGACTGCAGCGCGAGGAGACTGCTGCTGTCACCGCATTTCCTCGAGAAGCGACGCCGCGCGCAACAGATGGAGGTAATTAAACGACTTCCTTCCGAACTAATGGAAATAGGCTCAGAGCAATGGTCAGCCAATGGTCAGCCATCAGCACACCCCTCTCGCAACTAACAGAGTTATGGAACGCAATATTTGGTAAATGTTCTAATGATATGACGCCAAAACGTATATACATATTGGTGAAAGAAACGTTCATAGATATGCAAAACTCTTATTTCTGTATTCCACAATAAAAACACCTAATGTCCCTGGTGTGTAATATTTTTGCACTGAAAGAACACATGTTTATTTCTGATTAACCGAAAATGTGGATGACTATGATGATAGTATGTGTTAATATGTGATCTAATGCAGTTTCTTATTTATCTGCATGTGATTGTTGTTGTGGAGTTTCCCTATTGACATAATACTCAGAAAAATAGAAAATCTAAGATATCGAGAATGTTTTTCTTATACTCTGGTGAACTATAGTGTTGAGCAATATCCAAAAAACAATGCGACCGAATATTATCACAAGAACATAACACAATAAAATAAAATATTACAAAATACTCATTATTAAATTCAATTCAGTGTCTTAAAGTTTAAATTTATTTCAATTCGTTGTGCTCTAATGGTGCAGTACGAAATAACCTTTATGTTTAAGTCAACTTTTTTGAACGAATAAATATGTTAAATTTCATGGTGACAATAAGATTTAGAAAAAAATAAAGAATGATATCCATGCTACAAAGCCATCCCATTATGGAATGAGAAACAATCGTAAGCAAAAAGGCAAATCAGAAAACTATTAGAACGAAAAGGCTATCTTTTTTCGTAGCAGATTTTCCTTGAACTTTTTCTTCTTCCATCTTGAAATACTAATTCAAGATGTCTGTCTTGACAGTCTTCCTTTCCACTTGATTTATTTTCAAGTCAGTTTAAATAAGGACCTCAGAACCGCTTTTTTAGAGGCTTCTTTTTATAACGAGCTGTCGTCGTGAAACTGCATTGTATGTAGTGGGTATATGGCATATTGAAGAGAATATTAGTCCTGGCGTAAGTAATTTATAAGTTTTGAAAATGTTTTCCGTAAGCATAATAAATAATTACAACGACCACTTTGTAACACCCTCGAAAAATTACAGAGAACAAGTTCTCCTAATTGCAATAAGCAAACTACTTTACAAGGAAAAGTTCTTCAGAGGGGGCAGAGGTTTCGCAGCGTCTCCAGCTTCTCTTGGGCGACAAAGAGATGGGTGATGTCGTATAATGTACCAGCCTGTAAATGGAGACTCGGCAAAGCTACCCAATCCCATCTCAAGGTAATACTAAAGGAAAAATAAAATTAAAACATTAAAAAAACATCCGAAGACCGCCACGTCATTATTAACCAGTGACCCGTTTCGACAGATCAGCGTATACAAAAGCAGTGGTCTAGGAAAGTGTTAACGGAAAACTTTGCTCTACCGAATTGGTCAATCAAGAAACGAGCTACTAAACTCGTAAAGAAACTGTTGTCGTGGAAGTAAATCAACTGTTAGATTACTACACGAGGTAAAGATGTAATAACAGTCTTTATTTATACATACATATTGATTGCTTAAATATTTCATCATTCCTGTTCATTATTTCCGTAATTTTTGTACATATTTTTACGAGAGGTGGCAGTGCCCGCTAGATGGTGAGATCCGACACCGAGAGGTTTTTCTCAAACAGGTATCTCTCACCAGCTCTCTCCTGAGCAGTGTTCCAGCTGGGACAAGCTCTAAGCTTCAGACTTGTCTCCTAGCATATGTAGTAGTGTAGTGCATGTAAGTGTAAATGGGTATAAGTAAGGAGTGAGTATCGAACAAGGAAAATGAAGGAAACATAGCGCGCGGCCCGTGGGTCGTTTGTTACGGTAGTACTGCGGCATTCGCCTGGTATTGTTTGAGAAACCAAGGAAAACTACCGTTCATATCAGCCAGCCGCAAGAATTCTCCTCTCGGCTGCGGCTGAATTCGATCTAGCTAGTGTCGAAAATAGTGCCACCGTCGGGACTCAAACCCTAGAACTTCCTAGTCAGAGGCTCTGTGGTGACATCAGTTGATGTTTTGAGCCAGCTCGAACACGAAGTGTAGCATCAAGGAGAAATTATGGTTTACAGCTATTTGAATATATTTATTAGTTCTTAAAAAAAACTTGTTTTACTGTGCTTGTTAAAGCACAGATATCAACACACATTACGTATATCGTGAAACTTCCTAAAGTATTATGAAAATAAAAACACTCAAAAGAATGAGAGCAAAGGTATGGTAATAATGAAAGAAGTATATTGTTTAATAAGTGCAATAATGACATTTAAAAGATTAACTATTGCAATTCAAATTATTGTTACCAGCAGTACTGAAATCAGTACCACTTCAAAATAACATGAAAATACAATAATAAATTTATGACAAAATTTTATAGAAATAAAATTGAATTCTAATGCCAAATGGGAATGAAAATATACTAATTGTGAAGGTTTTAAAATATTTTTTTTCAGCGGGCCCCTAGGGGATCCTCTAACGCTCCGGAGTCCGATGCCATGCAGAAGGCGGAGTAAAGGGCACGACCTCGCACCAGACAAAGGCGCCGCGACGGCGTACAGCTGGCTAGAATGGCCTGTAAAGCGCGCATGGACCTTTGCGTCGAAATGTGTAAGCATAATGAGTACAAAATGTAGCGTGTCAATTATGTGTAATCGAACATCTAATTTTATCTTAAAAAATTACTTATTAAGTTGGAGGTGTTCTTACCTATAAATACTTCCATAATGATCGTTTGATGATTTGAAATTTCACGTTATGATATATTAAATTATTTTTTAGAATATCGTTATTTCTTCAGGCGCAAGTGGACGCAAGAGCATTTAAGAGTAAAACGGATTTTTTTGTTGCGAAAGCACAGCTTGGAGCTTCTAATCCCCACAAAACAGTTACAGCATGTTTAAACGAGACTTCATTCCCACTTGAAACCACACGCAGATTAATTTGGTGCTTGTGTAACCAAGTGCCGGTTTTGTGACCACGTTGCACTTGTTTACACCCACTGTGCGGCGCCGCTGGCCGCGGTGGCGGGGGCGGGCGAACGTGCTCCGAGGACGCGCGCGAGCAAGTACGACGACGTGGCTGCGCACGAGACGACGAGGCGAGGCGGGGTGAGCACGGGCGTTACAGCGCGTGCCGGAGCGGAGTGGGAGGGGACGAGAGAAACGCGCGGGAAGGAGGAGGAGCGGAGAGCGGGGAAACGAGCGAGAGCTGCGGGAAATGAGTGTCTGGGAAGGAAGCGAGTCGGGCTGAATGGCGGTGGTGGGGAGTCGGGGGAATAAGAAGCCGGTTTTGCACGGCGGGGTGTGAGAGGCGGGGTGTGAGAGGCGTGGTGTGAGAGGCGTGGTGTGAGGAGGGTGAGAGGGAGGGTGCGTAGGGTGGGATATGAGGGGCAAGGAGACGAGGTGTTAATTGGAATGGTGTAAAGGGCGTGGTGTAATGGGCATGCTGCAAGTGGCGTGATATAAGGAGCATGGTGTAAGGGGCGTGATCTAAGGCGCGTGGTGTGCTGGGCGGAGTGCAAGGGACGGGATGTAAGAGGCGAGGTGTACGGGACAAGATATAAGGGGGCATTATGTAAGGAGGTGTGATGTAAGGAGGCGTGGTGTAAGAGTGCGAGGTGTAAGGAGCGTTGAGCACGAGGTCTGGTGTAAGGGGCGTGTGTAAAGGGACATGGTGTAAGGGGCGTGGTGAAAGGGGCATGGTGTAAGGGGCGTGTGTAAAGGGACATGGTGTAAGGGGCGTGGTGTAAGGGACGTGTGTAAGGGGTGTGTGTAAGGAGCATTGTGTAAGAGATGTGATGTAAGAGGCGTGCTGCAAGGGGCGAATGTGAGAGGCGAGTGCAAGGAGCGAGTGAAAGGAGCAGCGGGCGGGCTGAAGTGCGCGAGGCGTGTGCGAGGAACGCGGCGCGAGGGCCGGGGAGAAAACGGGCGCGAGGGCGGAGGGCAAGGGTGTGAGGGGCGCGGGCCGAGGTGGTCGGGGAGCGCGCGGCAGTTGTGCGTCGACCGCCCGGCCGCCCTCCCCAGAGCCCTGGCGCCGTGCAAACGAGGCGGTGTTCGGGAGATGAGGCCCGGTTTAACACGACGCCTAACTTAAGGACCTCGTTATTCAACATGGCGCTTGTTGCTAACACTTTTGGATCGCCCTTCTCCGCATACAAAAAAAAAATATTTATACGGAAAAGTGTGCACAGCAGGCGGCGCTGGCCTCAAGGAAAAATGCGTGGCACGCTTAAGCGATTTCGCAGGAAGCCTAAGTAGTGCCGTCACTTCACTACCGTTTTGCCTTTCCTTTTTATTTTTTAACAAAGTATACTTACGTAAGTTAGTTTTACGGGGGTCGAGGCAAACCCGAGGTTACGTTGCTAACGTGTTTCCGGAAATTACTGGGCTCAATGCGAGCGTTGCGAAGACCTCATTTCGGGAAGCATAAAATGAATTAGGAAATGTCTTTTTATCGCAGAATCAGTATTACGATGAGCAATGAAATATTCACACACACGCTCAACAGGCAAAGTTGAAATTAATAACTGTCAAGACGAATGAGAAAACTTTAGGGATTAGAACCTCCCCAGCCTTCTATTTAATTATATTTAAGTTCGTTCAGATTTGGAAACTATAACAGAACTAAGGTACAAAATATTACACTTTGTAATTGATAATAATGTCTATTTTCTGAAAGTGTAAGCCAGTAGTTCATTATGTGTTTGCCTCTATTTTGAATTGTTTCAGTATACTAGTGTTTAGGCAATTAGAAATATTAGTACTAATGATATTAACATTTTTTACTAAGAGTTCAATGCACGTTCTATTAAGAAATATGTGTGCATGTCCTCTGAGTCTGTCCACAATTCTGGTCCTGTGTAAAAACTAGAGTGATTTCTGAAGTTCTGGGGCCTCTACTGGGAAGAGACGCTCCCACAGCATAGTAGCTGGCTCAGCACCTCACCCGGCGGCTTCAATGAAAAAGCCGGAGTATGACATGGAGCTATGGCGTAAGAAAAAAAGTTGGAAAGGCTTTTGAGGGATTAAAGTTGCGGAGAGGAAAATGAAGTGATGTGAGCCGTCGAGTTCATGAGCAGTGGATGAAAAAAATTGAAGCAATGGATTCATAGTGAGTTAGAAAAATGGTTTCGTGAGCAACATGAGCAAGCGGTGATGTATAAATTCTTGGCTATTCGGGAGACGCCCGATACGTGTAAAGCGGTGATGTAGTTTTAAGTGCGAATCCCTCTACAATCTCCGGTCAATTCTAGAGTGGAAAGATAAAATTTCGTTTTCTTTGTCGTTCGTAAGAGAAGAAACAGTCCATCTTTGGCACAAGTGTCGGTATTATTGGGGTTTGAATACTGAAGAATCCATTTTAAATCCTTTATAATGCTGGTAATTTGTATACAAGACTATTATTAATTGGATTAAACCAAGATTACTAAAGTTAATTAATTTAATGAAGCAGGAGGAATTTTGTACCGTCGAGTACCGTTTTAAGATATATTTTGTGAGTTATAGTAGTTTTTCAGGAGGGATCGAGTACAATAAAAAACCATATTATTATTATTATTATTATTATTATTATTATTAATAATAATCATATCGGGTAAAAATACAGCTTAGCGCCGATAATATGGCACTAACGTTGTTTTGATGTACTTTCATCTCTTTGATTTTTCATAAATTACATAAATGTAATTTGTTTAAATTATCTCTCACGTCGTTAGTATTGACGTTACGAACGTTTATATATATATATATATTGAAACGAAGAACGTTTCCGCATGGCAACAAGCGAAACTGATTACTAATTTTAATTAAAAGAAGCACTAGATCGATCATCGTAAGTAACGCCCGCCCGCCGCGCACCGCTGCCACCAACGGTCAAACCGGGGGCAGATGGCGAGGCCAGTGAACGGTTGACAGTAACGCAGGGAGGCGCGAAGCGCCGGGTGCGAGAGTATCGGCGAGAAGCCGCGAAGCGCAACACGACGGGCTGTGCTGCCCCAAGCAAGTTGTAGTAAATTATGCAACAGTGTGGAAACTGATTGTAGCCGTTAAGGTGGGGGATTAGATGTGCCGTAAAATCGATAATTAGAGTTGATTAGGAGAAACGAAGTGCGCACAGGACCGGGATCATGAACCACATTAATAGTGGAGTTTGAGTGCCGCACAGACACGCCGTTCGCATGTCCCCCGGGTGTGATGCAGCAGCGGGCCGCATCTTGGAACAGTTGAGTGGAGATTGAGAAAGAACAGTTTGATCGGAGCTTGCACGACGGGACGCCATTGCGCGTTGTGCAAGGTTTCGTATATATGTGAAACATTGCTTGCATTGGCTGGTGGTGGATCCCGGCGAGTCGTTGGCCATTGCATGGGATGTCCGCGGAGTCGACCGCCAAAATCGGTTTCCCGGACAACCTTCGGGGCGGACCGAAGTTTTGCACGAACACGCCCGCGCCGTTGCCACGGCGGCACGCTCGCCTCCAGTCCAGCCGGTGGGACATGCGAAGCTTCACGGTAGCGTTACTCATGCAACGAATTATTAAAAAGGCCTTGCGCACTGCGTATTGTTTAAAGAATTTATGTATATAGTGTGTCAATCATTAACTTTCCAATTGCGACAAAAGAGTTTCGCCTCATCATTCTTCAATGCGCTCAATTCCCCCTGGAACCCATTCACGAAATGTACCTCCTTTATATTATTTATTTTGTCGTGAGAGTACGCGTTTCCCAGTACGTCACTAATATATATATATATAATATATATAATATATATATATATATATATATTTTTAGAATTTATAGCAAAAGTGCTTCCAATGATTTCTTATACAATTTCTCGAGAAATAAAAATCTTGGAAATTTGAATTTTATTGATAGAGGCCTATTGGTCCAGCATTACACCAGACTGGACAAGCGTAAGTGAACAATGGGGGGGGGTAGTAAATTGAATATACACAAATCACGGGGGAACGTAGTTTAAAGGTTGAAGAACATATGCTGTTCGAAGAATACCTAGTCGTCTTTGGGCTTCAGTCACCTTGGCGATAAATTTTGGACTTTCTATGTCAAATTAATAATGAAGGTGGGTGATGGAGCCAGCGTCATTGCATTTTTACTAAAATTCTGTACTTTAAAGGTAGAGGGAACTTTGTCACATTTACTCAATTTTACAGAAAAGCTGTTCAAAGGCTTTGTAAGATAATGGACGGTGTGTTGCCTTTTTTGCTTTCAATTTCGTTATCAATGTGTTTTAGATAGATTTCTCAATGTCCCTGGGAAGAACAATAATATAGAAATACATATGTTGAATTATACCAATTTTTTAGAAAAAAAGGCATTGAGCACTTTACCTCTGGGTATGTAATTGCAAACAACATTAGCAATTTGAGGGGACAGGTAGAAGTAAATTGATCATATTTTCCCGTGTACATTAAATGATCGCATTTAGCCGTTTAGTATTTCCAAAACAAAATTTAATCATGGGTGGTATCAGATCAAATAGATTTGATTATGCTCATATAAATATTTTGACAACAGATATAGCAAGAGAAAATTTGTGAAGTTATTTTACAATTCACCCTTGTTTCTGTGTACAAAACAATGAAACTTTTATTAAATCTGACAAATTTCTTCAAAAAACTGTATAATTATCTTCTCCTCTGAATTGTCCAGTAATTTTACAAAAGAAAGGAACTGAAGACTGGTAGCGTTCTAAGAAGAACTCAGTTTACAAAATTCAAACAGTATCAAATTTTTCAAATGTTTATGCATTGTAGAATTTTTATAACATGTATTAAATTTTTTTGTTGGGAGTACCGGCTTACTGAGAAAAATGCATTTTCTCGATCCACTAAAAAGAACCGAATTCGTAAACAAGAACAGAGGAAGGACACTGGATTAGAAACAATAATTACTCTGAAATGTGCAATGTTAACAACGCCGGTACAAGTTATTCCATAACCGATAACCTGGCATTATTTCTATAGTTATTTATTTATTTATTAAACTATTACTATTATATCTATTAAACAGCCTCATCCTCAGACTCAGCCTCCTTCACCCGCATCACATTGTGCCCGTACTGCACACTCTGTCTACACCGATCTTACTTGCTCCGAACGCTCTGCTCGCTCCGCACACTCTACTCGCTCTGCACGCTCTACTGGCTCCGCAAGCTCTATTCGCTCCGCACGCTCTAATCGCTCCGAACGCTCTTCTCGCTCTGAACGCGCAACTCGCTCCGCACACTCTACTCGCTCCAAACGCTCTACTCGCACCGAACGCTCTACCAGCACCGAACTATTTGCACCGTTCGGTGAGCTAAGATCGTACGCTCTGTCGCTCTCCTTCATAGTTTGCATAGTCCAGCAACACGAGACAACAAAGCCGCCTATATGCGTCGCAAACTGCATTATTTCTGGTAAACTTTTTTTGATTTTACCAAATTCGAGGTAAGATTTTCAGGTAGAAACCGCCCCTATGCGTTTTTTATCGACTTTTGAAAGTTTTTGAACAAAATTTGAGAGCCATCGTTTCACTTATTTGAAAGTTAATGCAAAACAAACACACACATCCATATATACATACATTTTTATGTATTAAATCAAATTCACTTATCAAATATTATGACGAGTGTTAGTTAATAAAACAGTAACTTCACATTTTTACTGAGGTAAAAGTAAATATTTAATTAAGATGTCCTATGATTGCCCTTCCACGTTATGGACATCCTACCGATGATAAGGCATACCCGCAGGGATTTAACCCGAGATCGAGGACCCTCTCGTTATGGCCACTGTTGAAGAGCGCCCCGAGTGACAGCACCCGCGACGCTGCGCGAGCACTCAACCCCTCCCACGCACAGAGTGAATTATTCGCCCGTCGCCATATCAAATTTGTTCTGGTCTCGCGATTAGTACCCGCCCCTCGACGTGTAATAAACGCAGAGGGATTATGATTTATTGTGTTCTGCCCGCTTATTGCCGTTCAGAGAATAGTCATGCGCGATCTAGTCGTGTTGTCACACAATGCTGCCGTACCAACCCGCACTTTAATAAACTCCATTCATTTTGGAAGTGTTGATAGGGATTTTTTGAGATATTGTTAGGAACTTGGTCTGAAATAGATTGCAGTGCTTTGTAAAGGGAGAATAAGAGACTAAATATCAGCAAAATTGTAGAGTATATAATGAGTTAGGAAGGTATTAAAGATGACACGTTTTCCAATTGTAACTGAACTGAAAGTTATGAATCTTGACATAACAATCAATAATATTTTATTTTCCACACAAATTTATAATAGTACTCGTAACTATACTGTATTTGTCCCCTGAAATAATATTTCTTACGTATAAATGTATAAACCGTTAATGTTTCATGCGCACACATACGTTTCAAATAAGCAATAATTGTGATATATAACAGCAGATTTTTCGCGTATATAATATGAAAAACCATTTTATCCAAATAATACGCTCAATTGTTTCCAATTAAAACGAACATTTGAAATACAGAAAATTCATTTCTTGGGCAGTTTTCGCCCCTCTGTTTCGGGAAGGGCCCACGAAATTTCACCACGGCGAGTAGCTGGCCGTTTTTGTTCCGCGGTCGAAATATCGAATGCGTCGCCGGCCTTTCACATGAATAATGCGTGCAATTTTTACACAAATACATTATACACGAGAGTGTGTGCCGGGGCCGCTTGGACGCACGCCAGCGCACTGTCGTCGTTGCGTTCGGCGTTGTGTAGTTGCTCAAAGCATTCGTCGCAGCGTTGTGCGCTCATTCGAATGAGACTTAACGGCGGGTGCGAGAAGAAAACAGGGCGGGCGCGCTATGCGTGTTTTACGATATCAAAGCGAAGCTCCCAATGTTGGAAGAATTTTCAAAGGCATATATGGTTGAATGGGCTCTCGTAATTAAGTTTTTTTACCGCGAAATGGAGAAGTCTTAAAGAAGTAATTACCTTTTCGTGAATGGTATAATTTTATTAAGCGTCTTTTTCTTAAGATTTATCATTTACGATGTGATTTTGTTACGGATAGAAGACCCAATGGATGTTGTTCTGTAGCGTGCTCAATTCAGAGCCGTTGTACACATGTTCATGAGTTCCCCGTGTTCGATGATGCATGATGAATAAAACTGAACTCGCGCGTAAACGGGGCCACTTATATTGCAGTTTTGTGGATTTTGAAAAGGCTTTTGACTCTATCATCTTCATATAAGGGAAGCCTTTATGGCAAAAAATTAAATGAGCAGGCGTCTCACTAATGAAAGTTTTTAAAAAAGTGTTGCAGAGCCAAAATGTAATAGGGAATAAATTTCTGCGTCAGGTGCGGTGACGGAAGTATGCGACGCAAAATATAAAATCGACAGTAGGATTAAGACAGGGATGTCCTCTTTCACCGCTGCTGTTTTATCTTGTTTATAAATGATTTATTGAACGTGGGTACAGAAGCGGATACAGGCGGCCTTCCCCAAGTTTTTTTAAAAAAAATTTTTGAAAAAAAAAAAATTTGGTCCAGAAAATCTCCCGGACTACTATATGGCGGATGATTTAGTTTTGAGCTCGGAGCGAATTGAGGGCTTACAGAAGAGTTTAAATATTCCTAGAACGGTAATAGTGAGACAATGGGGAACTAAAAAGTAAATATTCAAAAACGAAGTAGTAGTCCTCAGAATGGGTTTTTTTGGGTAGCAAAGAGAAAATGGTACCTACGCTAGGGAAGAAATTGACCGCTTTTATCCAAAACATTTAACATATCTTGGGGCAAAATTTTACATGAAATGGGGATGGATAATCATATATTGACTGGTTCACAGCAAAAGGAAGCACTTGCGCTCACAGAATCGTTTGCGCAGTGCGCAGGGGTTTCCGAATTTGCCGGTAAAAGTATGCGATACAATGTTCAAATCGTTAGTTCTCACCAACTAATGGAGCAGAAATCTGGGGAAAGTGGATAGGATAGATCGATTAGAACAGCCATCGAAACGATTATTGCAAATTAATTTCTAGGAGTGTCTAGGAGCGCAGCAAATGCGGAGTCTTAGAGAGGCCGGTAGTAATAGGGAAATTTGGAAAAGATTTTAAAATGAAACCTATTAAACTCTGGATTAAATTAAGGCAGATTGAACAGGCTGACACACTTATACATAGGTGCTTTAGAGCGCAATGGCAGGGAAGCGACCATCGCTAACTGGGCGCACAAAATTAAATGGCTACTTGACCGCGCAGGGGGGTTTGGGAGACGTCTCTCGCGGAAATGGTGGGGGGGGGGAGATAGGGGGAAAAAAAAAAAACGCCCGTGAGATAGAAAGGCTTGATTTCCGATAGACTTGCGGATTATAAAGGGCAAAGAGATCTGGGCAGCAACGGCTGAAAAAACGTTCGCTGGTAGCTCAAATCCATGCGGTGCATTAGGGGTTGCGAAAGTTACATACATACTTTCGGAAGGACGCAAGAGGGGGATACGCTTGGTTTCAGGGTGGCGGGTGGATGCAGCGTAGACCTAAAAGGACGCAAGTGGTTAATCGGCATCTGTGTGCTTTGGCGGTGATAGGGAAGAACTGGATCCAGCATCCTCCTTAAATTTGCTGTGCAACCGAAAACATGGAGAAAAATGATGGGAATGGGAAATTACTACCCTTCCTAAACAGGAAAACGTAAACGCTCGCCCAAAACATTTTGGTGACAAAAGATCTTAAATTTATGAAAAGAAATTAGGTAACATTTTTAGGAAAGGTTCCGGACCATTAGGAGAAACTGAAAATTAGGGATGGGCAAAACAGCAACTGGTTAGCTTGAGCGGGCCTAGACTGGAGAGAAATAAATAAGTCAATAAGCTAACAATAAGTTACGTAAAATTTTATGTTAAGTTAGTAAACAGCCAGTAAACAGAAATAAGTCATAAATCGTAGTCATTGGTTAAATAACTGGTCAATACAATAAATAAAATAAAACTGGCATAGTAATAACACATTAGGGGGTGAAGGGAAGGGGGGATTCGAAAAATGTAAGGGCAGAGGCGTTGGTGCGGACATCTTCTGTGGCCGCCGTTATGATTCAGGTGCTGAGGAGGCCCAAGCACTGGAAGGAGACGGCGGGAACGCCCGCGCCAGACAATAAATAGCTAAAATAAATGTCGGATAGATTAGAATGAACTCGCTTCTGACCGGCAGTTTTTCCCCCTTCAGGGTTTTTTCCTGAGGCCCGTAGCCTTGTGGTCTCTTTCCGCGCGGCTTTGATGCGATGGAGAGACCATTTGGGGTGAATACCAGAATTCGAAAAGATTAGAAACGCGAAAGGCATGATAGGTTTGTTATGGTGAGGCCTTTGTTAGCCACATAGGATCAAGTACTCAAATTTGTTTGTAATGAATTACCTATTAAATAAATAAATTAAATAAATAAAAATGAACGAAATATTAAGACTTTTGATGCTGTAAATGAATAGGCTTTTTTTTGTTTCTTTTCAATTTTATGTTGGGCTCTATGAAGACACGAATTCACGTACGCTTCGTTAGTAAAAGGCAGCATAAACTGAAACATTCTTAATGCGAGCCTATCAGTAAAGAAAGTAGATGAGACTTGTAACTCTGCCTTTCCAGATCTGTTTGTGTACTTACGTTCGTAAGGTTTTCAAGCCCGTTGAGGCCAGACATATTGCTATTATTAGGTCGTTTTAAGACTTTTTTCTTTGCTGTTTCCTACCCGCCAAGGGAAAGTATTAATCACATCTGATACACTCTGGCCGTTTTATTTCTTATGGGAGGAATACGTATATTCCGCAAGTGAATAAATAACCATCTCTGGCCACTTAATTGCCCTCCACGGAGAACGTAAATTGGGTGGGGGGGCTTCTGTCCCGTCAGCTAAACTTGGGACCGTTCACGCAT